TTACCTAAAGGAGTTATAGTATCTGCTATCATCAAGAATCACTGAATATCAGCAAGAACTTCACATGCTTATATATTAAGCCCTCTCTTTAAAAATGTTCTATTAAAGTATTATAATCCTTAAAGAATAAACATCGTACACAACAAAACAGAACTTCACATGCTTAGAAAACAAGCCAGTTCCAAATGTGGTTTAACATGCCATGATCATTATCCACTAATATTATAAACCAGAAACCTAAAGCAATAATCTACATTATTATATCTTAATGCTAATCAAGTAATCCTCAAAACACTTTTTTAATTATCATCACAAATGCTAAAATAAACAAAATAATGCAAGACACATCCATACAAAATTGAAACTTGCAAGAACATCCAAAAGCTACGTAGAGGAGACACCAGAAACCGACACTGACACGTCTAACACGTCAATACCGAAAATAATTTCAAAAAATAATAAATTAACATAATTACTAGTGTCCTTATCAGTTTCAGACACATTTTTTTCAAAGATTTCGGTGTTACAAAGTCCAAAACACTAAAATAAACAAAATAACACCACAAATAACTGAAACTTACAAGAAACGGATAAGATCAACAAAAAAGAAACCCAAGATTTCTTTCCATACAGCAATGATGAAAAGGTTAAAAGTTTACCTTCAAAATAGCAGGCTTATGTGACAAACCACAAGGAAGATTTTCAAGTTCAATAGCTCTTCTAGCAATCCTAATGGCAAGCTCCTTATGAAGAAACTGTGCAGAAATCAGCAAATTCTTGTCACTAGGATTTGAACCAAACTCCATCATGTACCTTAGACTCACACCAGTTTGTTTGAAACAACCCCATTTATGCACATCTTCAATCAAGCTTTTTGAGAATGTTTCAATGGCTTTCTTTGCAGCCATGGCTCAAAAAAGATGGAAAATGAATCAGAAATGAGAGAAGAAAAGATTGAAACTTTGGATTCAACGGAAAGTTGGAAAATTGAAAGAAGTGAATTTTGTCTTCATGGTGTTAAGTTATTATTTGAGAATTGATTTGAAGGATAAGCTTATGAACCGATTTACATATTTATAGCACATGCTTTGCTTTCGTTTTTTTCCTTCCTTTTTTGATATATATTTTTTATTATTTTTTCAATAATAATTCTTTCATTAATTTAATAGATTGGTTCATTTGATCTTGAAACTATTAGAGAAAGGCACTCTCAAATTCCCTAGCTTTCACTAAGAGACTATTTCCTAAGGGTTAAGAATTAAGTTAAATTAATAAGATTTTGAAATAATTTATTTAAAAAATAATTTTGATATTTTTTGGGAAATAATAATCAAAATCTTAATAATTTTAAATAATGGTTTTTTTTAGTTTATAATTTTGCTGTGGGCTGAATTTAACACAGTTTCAAAACTAAATGCTTTGAAATCAGGATAAGATTGAAATAATTGTATGGTGAGTTTTGCTAGGTAATAGTTAAATTCTAGATTGGTTTGTTTTAGCTTTAAAATATTTTAATAAAATTAAATTTATTTTTTTATAAATTAAAATATTAATTTTGAAATCTAGTAATACAAATATAGTTTATTGAAATCTAAAACATAATTAAAATCGCATGATTTTTTTTAAAAATGTGTATATTAAAAATGATTTTTATAAAAAATTATTTAATATAGCTTTAAATTTAAATAATTTTCTGAAAATTTGATATTCAAAAATAGTTATGATAAATTAATAAAATATACAAAATAACATTAAAAAACTATTTAAGTCATTTTTTTTAAATTGTCTTAAATATTATTCCTAACTTTTTAAAACAAAATATGTAATACTATAAAAACTATTTTAAAAAACATTTTTTTTTAAAATTCTAATAGGATATAAATGCTGTAATTTTATTAAATTCAGTGTAATTTTAAAGTTGTACTAATATCTTATAGATGGTAAGTAAATCATTCTCAAAAGTTTGAGTCTTTTTTTTAATGAATGAATAAACTTGAAATTAATAAATTTGAAAGAGATATTATTTTGGCATTTTTAAAAATATTTGTTTCTAATGTTATATATTTTTAAAAGATCATCTTACACTTTTTAAATAAAAATTTTAATAAAAAAAATTTGTAAAATTTTATTTTAGGTATTTTATCATTTTTTATGACTTTTTTATTTTTAAATATCATTAAATTAAATATTTTTAATAACTTGAGAGGGTTTGGTATGACCCCCTTCTTCTTGTATCTTCTTCCTTGTTAATTTTGACCATATTTTAATATTTAATAAAAAAAATTGTGTTATTTAAAATCAATTTTTAGTTTATGGAAAAATGACTATACAATAACTTTTTTTTAAAACTTTTTATTAAAAACATTTTTAAAAGTACAAATAAAATCTATTTTTAAAAAATATGTAGCACATATATCCATTGTATATTTTATGAAAGATATTATATTATTGTTTGGTTGCAAATGAATGAAACAATTAGGAAGAGAATAGTTTTTTAAGAGGAATTTGTGCTTATTCTTTGGTTTGGTTGTTGTGAAGCTGTGTTTTACATTTACTATCATTCATTTTTGGCATGCGATTTCCAACAAATTCACGTGTCTTTTCCATTACTAGTTGTTTGGTAATCGCCCTTTATTCATGCGCCTCACTTCTCGGTTTTACACAATTATTTTGCTAATTTTTCTTTAAAATAATTTTTTCATTAATTTAATGATTGAATTTTATCTCTTAAAAATAAATAAGTAGAATGATATGGGTTAGAATTCCTCCAACAACTGATGTTATTGCATAATTATAAACTGATGATAAGTTATTTCTTTAATTGTCATATTATCATCAATTGACATTTTTTGTGAAGGATCTGCCACATGAAAGTTGAATGATATGGTCAGATAGCTTGGTTCCAAATAAAGTTTGACAAAGCCACATGATGATGAAGGTTACAAGTGAAAGAGGCATCATCTTGTAGAGAAAGTATGTCAGAAGTTGAGTGGTTATAAACCAATATGTCCTCTATAGGTTTCAAACAAATGACTATCTTGTTTTTTTTTATTTTTACGGGAAGATAAATTCAATCAAACAAACTTTACTGGGAGAGACAAATACAAAAGTTCTACAGCGGGATAGCCCCTAATCCAAGTTTTGGATCCGAACAACTTGCCCAGACCTGCTACATCATGAGCCTCTCTGATACAATTTCTGGAAACATACTGAATAGAAACAAATTTAAAACTTCCTAACAAGTTACGACAATCTATCACAATTGAATCCAACACCGTAATCTCCGAAATACCATTGATACAATCCACTGCATTAATGGAATCTGATTGGACAACAAGCGAATCAATCTTCAAAGCCAAGGCCTTGGAAAGCCCCCATCTGATAGCATGTGCCCCTGCCACCTCCGCAGGGACATCAATAAACTCCTTAGGACTGGCAGCCAACTCAATACCTCCCTCTTTGTTCTTAAGCACACAACCATATGACACAAATTCACCATCAGAAACGCCTGCATCAACTTGCAATAGCTTAACATCTCCCCTGGGCATCAACTCATCCTCACAGTTTTGTCCCACTATCCTTGGAACCAGCTCAGGATTGACAAGGTTGAAGTCAGTCACCTGAGTAAGGCCTCATGCGCCACTCTTGCCGGATCAGAAAGCTTCTTTTGGAAGCAAATCAGATTTCTCGCCGTCCAAATCTTATGCAACAGAACACAAAGCAATTACGAGCTTAGCAAATTTCTTCAAGTAAGAATGCTATACAGCCAGTCGAGCATGTGAACATCCTGAGGAATCCTATAACTCAAAATAGAAGAGAAACAAACTTGCTTCGTAAAAGGGAAATACATAAAGAGATGTTGGATAGATTCTCCCACCTTTCCACAGAAAGTACAACAATTATCCACACCAATACCCTTCTTTTCCAGATTGTCTTTCACCGGCAGGATATTCTTAACCATTCTCCAGATGAAGCTCCTGATTCTAGGATGTATTTTAGATCTCCAAATTTCTTTCCAGACTCCTGAAGGCATAAGATGAGGGACCTGGATCCATGTTCATGCGAACCTGCACACATGCGTGATAAGCAGAACGGACAGAGTAATCTCCATTCTTTTCAAAATGCCAGATGATGCGGTCTTTCAACTCCCCAGCAGAAAGGGGAATACTGACAATCTGCAAGGCCTCCCAAGGAGCAAAGCTGCTATAGACCAATTCTTTCTTCCAACACCCAAGGTCTCGATCAATGAGATCCTTAACCTTTGCACCAGCATCTAAACCAGAAATGGGACGTAACACCTTATAGCCATTATTATTAGGGATCCAACAGTCAAGACCAATGGAAACTTTCTCCCTATTCCCTATTATCCATCGAGCACTGCGGTTCACCATGTCTCTTGCACTAATAATGCTCCTCCAGGCATAACTTGGAGCATAACCAACAGAACTGGAAGAGATAGAGGAACGGAGGTAGTACCTATTTTTGAACAGTCTAGCCAACAAGGAATTTTCATCTGAAAGTAGTCTCCAATAGTGTTTCCCTAACAAACAGTTGTTAAATTTGCTGATACCTCTGAATCCAAGCCCCCTAACATCTTTACTAATAGCAAGCTTGCTTAATTTCATCTAGTGGATTTTCTTCTCCCCATTCTTAGCACCCCACCAGAATCTAGCCAATAGAGCCTTGATATCGTGACAGACAGACCTAGGGATTCTGTAGCAGCTCATGATATACGATGGAATGGCTTGCGCAACTGCTTTGATCAGCACTTCCTTTCCTTCCCTAGACAAAATTGTTCCTTCCAAACTTTAAGCTTTTTCCTAACCCTTTCCACAACCAAAGCAAAAATATCTTTTTTTGGATCTACCAAACATGACCGGCAACCCAAGGTATTTGGAATGGCTAGCAACAACCCTAACCCCCAATCTATCACGGATCCAATCCATATCCTCAGTCTTCACATTTCTGCTAAAAGACGCTTCTGATTTCTCAAAATTCACCTATTGTCCGGAAACAGCTTGGTACTTCCTGAGAACGCCCAAAAGACAGTCAGCCTCTTTGGCATTGGCCCTGGCAAACAGCAAGCTATCATCATCAAAAGATAAATGCAAAATAACTGGTGCAGACCTGGCCACCTGGACCCCATGGATTCCTTTGTTTGGGACCTCCACCTTTAGTAACCCTGAAAGAATATTAGCACAGAGGATGCACAGGTACGGAGAAAGAGGGTCCCCTTGGCGGATCCCTCTCTCTGGTTGGAAGGAAGAACTAGGTTGCCCATTCACTAATATCCTGTAAGAAACAGTCGTAACACACCGCATGACAAGATTCATAAACTGAGGGGGAAAACCCATCGAGGAAAGAACTTCTCTGATGAAGGGCCACTCCAACCTATCGTATGCCTTGGCCATGTCCAACTTTAATTCCATGTATCCCTTATTGCCTTTCGTCTTCTTCTTGAGCCAATGGAAACATTCCATCGCCACGAGAGCATTATCCGTAATCAAACGGCCTTTCATGAACGCACTTTGCTCCTCATCAATGACCTCAGGCAGAAAGTGCTTGATTCTATTCGCAATAGTTGTTATGACTACCTTCATTTAACATTGCACAAGCTGATGAGACAAAACTATCTAGCACACCTTGGCTACTTGCACTTAGGAATGAGGACAATGTGGGTGTTGTTCAACACCCTAGGGTCACCATTATTATTGAGGACTTCAAGGACCTTGTCTGTGAAATCACTTCCCACCATATTCCAGTATTTTTGGAAAAGAGAGCTGGGAGGCCATCAGGCCCTGGAGCCTTGAGAGTCGGAATTTGAAACAAAGCTTCTTTGACCTCCAGTCTTGTGAACTTTTCCTCGCACAAACTGATGTGCCTTGAAGACAAACAATTCTTCACCACATGGCAAGATTCTGCAACATTAGTGGGGATATAAGATGCAAAAAGGTCAGTAAAATAATGAATAAGAATGCGCTCACAGTGAGATTCACTATTCCACCAAACACCTCTGTCATCTCTTAGCTTTCGGGTCGTGTTCGTCTTCCTCCTTTGATCAGCCTTATTGTGGAAGAATTTGGTATTTTTGTCTCTGTGTTTCAACCATAAAGCCCTACTCTGTTGTCTCCAAATAACCTCCCCCGCTTGAAGGAGCTTATCTCTATTGCCCTCAAGAGCTTTGTATCTTTTTATCTCCTCAAGGCCAGTGTCGCAGCTTACATCCTCCTGCAACTTGGCCTCAATCCTCTCAATTTCCTTTCTGATATTTCCCCTCCTGTTTTTTTAAATGCATCGTCAAGACCTTTCATAGCCGCCAGCTTTCTATGCCATATTTCCTGGTTATTGTTCCAAAATTGATCCACCAACCTCTCACAATTGGGGTCCTTGCTCCACACCTCCTCAAAACAGAAGATATGCACTCTTTTCTTTCTCTGGCTAGCCTCAGTAGCCTCCAAGTTAATTCTAAGAACTGCATGATCAAAAATAAAACGCGAAAGGTGGGTGACGCGGATGGGGGAGAATCTGCTGATGAAATCCTCCGTTGCCAGGCTTCAATCTAACCTGCATTGGATGTTATCCTCGCCGGTACAGCCATTAGACCAAGTAAACTTATAACCTGCAAAACCCAAATCAGTTAGTCCACTAGACACTGTGGTTTGTCTTCCCCAATCCTATTGACTGAAAGATCTCGCGTTCCCTCCTTTTTTTTCATGATCAGAAACAATATCATTCAAATCTCCAAAGCAAAGGATTCTCTCCCCCTCTAAAAACCATCTCCTGAATCAGCCGCCACGTGTCCCTTTTGTTCGGTTCATCTAGGAATCCATAAACACCATACAACGTCCAACCATGGTTACCCTCCTCGTCTTTGACAGTTCCTGCAATGTGATTAAGAGAGTGAGAGTTAATATAGATGTGATATTCCTCTTTCCATAACATAACTAGCCCACCCGCTCTGTCTCTTCCACTCCCCCTACAATCCTCGATCAAACACTCACAGAAACCAATTTTAGCTTTAATAGGCAGAACTTCCTCTTGCTCCAGACGCGATTCCATAAGAAACAGAACACTGGGGTTTATAAGACAGATGAGCCTCAACAAAGCTCGAACTGCACAGGGATTCCTCAAACCTCTACAGTTTCAGCTTAATATTTTCATTAGGATAGACGAGACATTTCCTTTTCTTTTCGCCGCTTCCACATTCCTCCACAGAACCCTTCACAATCATAACGTCCACCAACTGACGTTTACCAAATTCCTTCTCCACAGGGATTCCTCATAACCTCTACAGTTTTCCTAATCCATTTCTTATTTTTTGGGACCGACATAATCGTTTTCATCGAATTACTCGTTCCTTTGTTAGAGATATCCACCGCTCCAAGGGATTCAGCCACTACCTCAATTTCCAAGTTTTCTTGATGCTGGCCAATCGAGAGAGTACTTGGAGGCTTCTCAAAGTTCCCATCTTTCGTCCTACCCCTACCTGTTCAACTTCTTCATCCCACTCCTTCTCTTTCCCTCTGTTTTCACACTTACTGTTACCAAAGGAGGTATTAAAGAGGTTCCTGCTGCAAGAACTGGAAGTGGATTCCTTCTTGAGTTCCGCCTGTACCTTAGGGAGCGGAGATGCCCGCATCCAAGGGCCATATGACAGATCCTTCTCTTCAAGTTCTTCGAGACCTTCATCACTTAGATCTTCGATTGCCTCGCAGTCTTTCAGTTGATGGCCCAATCTCCCTCAGACGAAGCATAGAGTTGGAAGTAGGGCTGGCAATGAACCAAACCAACTCGAAGATAGTTCGGAATTCGACTCGACAATTAAATCGTTGAACTAGGTTCATGAACCAAATGAGTTGAGTATGAGCGAAAAATTAAGTTCGCTAACTAAATGAGCTGAACTTGAACTATACATAGTTCGACTCGTTAGGTTCATGAGTCAACTCGATTACATATGAAAAGAATTATACTGTCTTTAAGATTAGTTTTAAATATTTACTTCAAATCTTAGACAAATTTAATCTTCAATTTAGTAGTTTTTGAATTAGACTCTCATATCTATCTCTTGAAAGTTGTGTAGGTTTTGAATTAGTAGATTTCGAAGATAAAGTTAAATTTCAATATGATAACTTTTATTTTATTTTAGTATTTTATTTAAAAAATATATATTTATTTAAAATGTCAAATATACTAAAAAATATATATATTTAAAAAAATAGTTTTTAAGTTCGTGAACCATGTGAGCTGAACCTAATGAGATGAACCTAACGAGTCGAACCGAACTGTTCGTGAACTTATAACGAGTCGAGTTTGAGCTTAAAAAAAAGTTCGTGTCGAACTCGAACTCGAACTCGAATTCGAACAATTCTTAACGAGTCGAGCCGAGCTGAGGTGAGTTCGACTCGACTCGACTCATTTCCAGCCCTAGTTGGAAGTCTTTCGTACTTGAAGAAGGCTCTCAAGTTTTTGTCTTTAAATCTCACCACCGTGCCTCTTTTCAACGTAAGTTTTAGATCTAGCGTGACCTTCAACCGGAGGAATCTACCATTTCTATAAACATCTTTTATATCCATTTCCTCAAAAGCTCCTAGAATTCCACCCAGCTTGCGCGCCATTGATTCAGTTCTGAGCATCAAAAGGAGTTCAAAGACCCTTACCCAAAAACTTCTGAAGTGCATATTCAACGCCGAGGATTGCTCTTCCCCGGAAACTCGTGCAAGGACGAGTAGGTTTGTGTCGAAACTCCACGGACCGTTTCCTAGATCATGTAAGTAGTACCGGCGCCTAAGAGGAAGTGAATTAGGATCTTAAACATTTACTTGCAATTTTGAATGGTTTCTTAGTTCTTTTTCGGTTATTAGTTAATGACGGAAAATAAAGGCAGGAAAGTAAAAGAGGACACAAGAAGATTTATAGTGGTTCCTTCACACTCCGAAGATACTTCATTCTCCTTTCGACTCGAAAGAGAATTTCAATGTAGTTCAGAATAATTGCAAAGCCTAATCACACAACTGTAATGCTTACTATCTAAACCTATAGGTAATTCTAAGTGTTGAAGAACAATCTTCTTCAATACATTTCACTTGTTTCCAACAATCCTAAAAAACAAGGTAATACACAAAAATGTTCTTGAGAAAATATTTGATGGAAAGTTGTTTATCAATCTGCAAGGTTGATCTTCTTCTCAAAACAAATTATACTCAGATAAGATACACAAGTGTTCTTTGTGAAAAACAACAATGAGAGTGTGAAAATTTAATCAATGGCTTCTTTCAAAAATTGGTGTTTGAACACTTAAAATGAAAATTTAATCAATGGCTTCTTTCAAAAATTGGTGTTTGAACACTTAGAATGAAAATTCAGATTTTTAAGTGAGTAATTTTGGTAATTTTGTTTCAAGAAGGTTGTTTTTTATTTTGAAATAGAAATCAATGTATAGGAGTGAAAAACCTTTCCAAACAGGTGTGATTTTGTAACAGCAAAAATAGCTTTAAACAATGTAATTTTCCATGAACAACTGTCATTTTTGCTTGTTGTTACAGTGTTAATCGGTTAACCAAAAGGGTTAATCTTTACAACGTTCAAAATATTTGAAACTTATATGTGTTAATTGGTTAACCCATATGGTTAATCGGTTAACACTGTTGTAAAATCCAAAAACACATAATTTAGAAATGTGTTAATCGGTTAACCATAAGTGTTAATCAATTAACACTGTAGGTTTTTCTGAAAATACTTAATTTTGAATAAAATGAGTATTTTAAAAAAGTTTTGAAAGTGTTGGGATAATTGTGCAGTGAAAAGTGATTTTTAAGAACACTTGTATAAATTTTCTAAAGTAAAAATGTTATACCGTTCCTTTTGAATCATCATCAATACTTGTAGCTTGTAGACGAAGCTTTGATCCATAAAGTTATACACGATGGTACTTTCCTTGATCTTGATGTTCTTTGAATTGCTTGCGTCTCTTGCTTTTTGCGAAGAATTCAGAAGAAAGGTGCTTCTGTTTAATCTTCAATATATACCCCTACGGGTGTATATTATAAGTATCTATCTTCAATATATACCCCTACGGGTATATAGTCTAAGTATCTTGCGTACCAAGCTTGTACTAGTTTGTCTTCATCAAAACATAAAGGTCTTAAAGCTTGCTTCTACAATCTCCCCTTTTTTATGATGACAACAATACTTTGAAAATTCTGCTTTGATACTTGGTTCTCTTTATTTCTCCCCCTAAGTTAGAGAGCTCCCCCTAAATATAAGAGAGATACAATCCTTCTCCCCCTTAAACATAAGAGAGATACAACATTTCTGCACAGGGAAATGTTAGAGACCAATCCTTCTCCCCCTTTGTCATTAGCAAAAAAGGAAGAGGAGCAATGAAAGATAATACCAAACAAGCATACATAAAAAACATAATCACAAACAC